GAGGCTGTTTATTTTATACACAGTTAGAGAATGGTGAATTTACAATGATTAATAACAGCTATCTAACACTTAAATGCTGTTATTATTAAACTTACCTTTTATTATATCCTTAAGATTATGAGAATGCGGGAATTTTTCAGCTTGGTTCCCAAGGCAAAATCACACCGGAAGTAAAGATACCCAGTTTTGAGTTATGGCGGCCATTGTCTGACGTCACTGTGAAAAGGGTCTATTTTATGTTGATATTTATCTCAATAAATACTGTTATTGATTTATCACCCAGCTCTACATTGGACTGAGAAGTAGTTTGTATGATGAGCACATGCAGTTCCACCAGATGTTTGCTAACTGCTGCTGCCGCTAGTCTGGAGGAGCTGTGTGGGGGGCTGCAGCTCCAAGGATACAGGATTTTGGAAATAGGCAGCACTTTGTATGAGGTCATACATGAAAGAATCCAAGCAACACTCCAACATGATTTTGATGAGGGAATAAAATTATAATATGATGGAAAACAGGTCAGTTTTTTGGCATAATATCCCCGCTTAAATGAAATGTCCCTTTTTATTTTCACCAAACTGACCAGAGTCAAGCCACGTTGAAAAAACTCATCTGTGACTTCAACGTGCTTAACACTGGGATCCCTCCAGGATGTGCACTCAGCCCACTGATGTTCCACTGCAACCAGAGATACTGGGTAGCCTTAGAGAACCGATTAGTTGAATTAATCAACTGATTAATTGAATGAGTTTGGTGAGCTAATTGAATAAATAAAACAGAAACTGAAGCAAACATGACCAGCATCCTCAACTTTCATTTTATTGTATTTTAATCCTCCTTACTATGAAATGCCAACAAGTTTCATCTGACATGAATCCATTTGGGACTCGTGTAGTGAACGCAGATCAACCGGGTGTATAAATGTAGTTACTGATTTTTATTTATGTATTTATTTAGTCAGTCATCAAATAATTTGCTTTGAACAGTTCAAACCTCTCCACCAACTCGAGCATTTTGACTGAGAAGGCACAAGGCTTATATTTGTGCCTGTATTAAACGTCAAATTCAACTAAACTGCCTCTGCCCCTCATGAAAGAAATAAACAATGCAGTTGAGGTATTTTCAACAGCTCAGCAGAATTGAGAAGACGGTTCCACAACACAGGAAGGAGAAAACCCAAAAGTACAAGTTGACCTGATTAACTGACAAGACACTGAGCGCTGGTTGAAGAGCCGGGGCTTTTCTGCAGGTACGTTTACCGCTACAGGGTGTTCCACTCACTTGTTTTACACACAATGCGCACTTTACTCATGCCGCACTCTAACTCTGTCTCCACTCAGTGTGAACTCTGGGAAGTCCCTTGAACTCTGCTAGCACTCTGTTCATTCCCTCGCAGGAAAACCAACACAGAGTGGAAGAGAAGTCTGAGAAAAAAAAGAGAGGAGGGGCGGGGGAATGAAAAGACAGTAATAGGAGCAGACGGAGAGACAACACAGGGCAGTAAGAAGTGGTTTATCTCTCTCTGCTGGACATGATCTCCATGTCGGCCAGCTCTGACCAGGAGATACTGCAGGTTCCCCCAACCTGGCCGATATGGGACAGGACTTGGTTTTCTCGCGGCCTCAGTCGGTAAAAGCACCGCGCCCAGAAGTATTTACTCAGAAAACAGGCTGCAAAGGCAGATCTATTGGTGCTAAAGTCCCACAAAGATTACACGGCCGCAACGCAGCTCAGTTCTGAACCCAGAGGAACAAGCTGAACACTTTGGTTTGCTTTCATGTAGACGTCGGCAGCTCACCATGGTCGATGTGTGTGCAGCACCGCCGGACGGAGCGGCCGCTCTCTCGAGGTTCTGCAGAAAACTGTCATTTTTCCTGCAAAACATGAACACAGCAGCCGCCCGATCAGATCAGCTAAACCGATATGTTTCCACAGGGATTCATCAAACATGGATCAAAGCAACACATGACAGCATGAGAAAAACCTAAAAAACAATTTACATTTTTCATAATATGCTGTCTTTCAAGAAGTGTTTCTTTTTATTTTCACTAAAAACCCGTCTCTGACTCCACTGGGACGCCTCAAGGGTGTGTACTCAGCCCACACTGATTATCTCCAAATACTTCCTGGATCTGTGTGTACATGTTCCCACTGCATCTCATCTTTACTGATCAGTTTTACTTCTTCACCTTTCTGTCTGATGTTTAGTGTTTTTTATATTAAATAAATACCTGACAAATTCTATTAAGCAGAATGTCAAAAGTATTAATGTGACAACTGCACAAGTCCCTGTCTGGCAGTTAAATCATAATGATAGGCGAAGGCAGGTTTCTACAATCGAAGACGTTAAAAGCTAAACTAAGCCAAGATAAACATTATGGAACCCCGACTGAAAGATGTTCAATCAGGTCTTTAAACTTAGAAAAACAAACAAAACTGACATATTAGTATTTATTTTTACTTAGGAGCTGAAACAACAGTGCTTTTCCAAAAGAAATGTAACACTATTGTTGTAAATATTGGCCTCTCTGTGAAGTTAGAGAAGAGTTATAGAATATGACTGATTGATCTCATCTGATCACATTTAAAATCTGAAGGTGGAAATCCATCCATCCATCCATCCATCCATCCATCCATCCATCCATCCATCCATCCATCCATCCATCCATCCATCCATCCATCCATCCATGATGTACAGAACTAGTAGGGCATTTATTTAATCAATTTATGTTATTTTATTAAAGTATTTAAATGTAGTAATTTATTATTTTATTTTTCATGTATTTTTTTGTATTTTTTATGTATTTTTTTCTAACAGATCAACAAAAAGTGGTAAATAATTGTGTAGTCAGAAGAAACCAATACTTTTTTATTACTAATTACATGTAAAAAGAGTAACATGCATGTGCATTTAGTCCTTTTAACCCTGATGCCCCTAAATAAAATACATGTGTGTAACTAAATCTCATAAATACTGTAATTACATTATTCTTTGAAGGCCTCAGCATTGTCTTTCTCAGAGAACATTAGTGAACAAAGAGCATCATGAAGACCAAGGAACAGGTCAGAGAGAGGCTGTTAGCTGCGTTTCCACTGACCGTATCGTTGAGCAAATATGGAATTCTGAAAATAAATTAGCTTAATGGAAACATGACAATTTCCTTTTTTTTTTGTTTGCATTACGACGAGGTGGAATGGAAACACGTTTCTCACGTAACATGAGTCACGTGATCAACAACCGGATGTTACTACTGGCAGAAACGACAAAGAATCGTCCTACCAGGAAGTGGTAGGAAGATGATGGCACGGCATGTTTTTTTTAAAAGACTTATCACATGAACAAACTAATTCACTGCGTTTCTTCTTTAATGGAAACACGGCGATTGCGATATTGTCGTTTTTCGAAATTAACGGGATGCTGACAAAGTCTTGCGTACAACGCTAAAGGAAACGCAACCTGAAAATGCCAAATTTCACAGGTCGTATGGGAAGCAAAACGTACAAAACTAACACTGCACATCAGACTCAACACTTCATCCCTGCTGCAACAAACCTGAGACTGGAGTGCAGGTTCAAAGTGCAGCCTGAGCTACAATGTAATGGCCTACATCAAAGCATGTCTAATTAAACTAAACTACCCCTCCCATTCACAAGGAGTACAAAGAAAGAAGGAAGGAAAGAAAGAAAGCAAACGATGCAAAGTTCAGAGCCACAAATGACTGAGAGCCTATGGCAGCTGATTTGACTGGGTTTGCACTATTTCACAGAAAGGAACACGATGAAACGTCAGTCTGGACTGGAGAGACACAAACCAGAAGATCTGCAGCTGTAACCGCAGTGAGAGGTGATTCTGGGTGTATGTAGTACAAATGGTACTATTACTACAAAAAAAAAAAAGCATCTTCTTCCCATCTTACAGTTCTGCTCTGTGCTGTTCTATCACATTAAATCCCGGGTTATACATTGACGGCAGTGGTTTGTGGTGGCGATGTGACAACATTGACTGGGGAGGCTCACACGATGGAGAGACGATTGTGTCACCTGACGCTGACGATGCATTCATGACTCACCTCCACAGCGGAGAGCCAAGACGCAAACAGACCTGTGAGAACCAAGAGAGGGAGATCCTGGCCTGACCTGGTCTGATCCGAGTGGAACAGCTCCCGCCTCCTCTGGTCCTCCTGCCGCCTCTTCAGCTCCAGACGTTCAGCCTGAAACACAACGCAGTCAACACTCAGCACCACAGGCTGCAAAACACTGCAACCCAACAAAATGAATAATAATGTTGGATTTTTTTTTTTTCATTTACGCACAAAGGTTTTTAAGCTTATGCACCCAAAAAATACGCTTCCCTCCTTCTAATTCTCGACCTCAGCGCAGCTTCTGATGTCGCTCGTCGTTCATTCATGTTCAGGTTCAAAAGTGTTTTTTTTTTTGTGTGTGTGTGTGTTTCACTTCTCAGTTTCTGCCTTTTACCAGTATTATTGCTACTGCTATTAATAAAGCCAGTAGAGTTACGTGGTCGTGGTGTTCCACAGGGATCCACGCTTGGCCCTTTGAATTCAGATTTAACACAGATGTGTGTTAAGTACAAGAATAAACTGACCTTAATGCACAATTTTCACAATTTCCTACCTTTAATGTAACAAACCTGCTGCACAATTCAACTGAAAAACAAATGTGTTAGAGAGTCAAATGTAAGAGGATTAAAAAGCTGCGCTAACTTAGAGGTTAAAGTGATTGAGCGCCTACAGTCAGTATTCTTAACTTCACACTCTTCATCAATTATACTGAATCTGACTTTCTTCTTAAAAAATCCAAACTAAAAGTCCAGATCTGGCTAAATCCTCCAAACTCTAATCGGAGGACGTTATTTACACTATGAAACATGGGAGTGGCAGAAGCATGCTCAGGTCTTATTTCATCCATCCATCCATTTTCTGAACACCCTTGTCCCTCAGTGGGGTCGGGAGGGGTGCTGGTGCCTATATCCAGCTAACGTTCCGGGCGAGAGGCGGGGTACCAGGTCTTATTTATTTGATTTAATTTTTTAATGAAGGAGAATGAGATTTTTGAGTCCAGGAACAGATCCAAATCCACACTGTAAGAACGGATCGGAGGAGTTAGAAGTCAATGTGTGGACTCGCCTGATGGCAGTCTGACAGAGATTTGATAAGGAATAGAGGACAAATATTACCAACACCGCCAAGCCAAGAAGTGAGTTAAAGGGGATGCACACCTCAGCAGTAATGTTAACTTTTTAATCGATTCCGTCTTACATTTGCTTTTTAGTTGAACTGCAAATGATGAATATGTGACATGTGGAAACATGATAGAATGGTTTATTATATTCTCATATTTTCCACCTCACAAACAAACAGTTATTCTAATACGGGTGTTTAATCCGCACTTGGGCTGGGTGTTGTTAAAAGCCTCAAAATTCAATTGTGACTTCAGTATTGATAAGTAGCATACGAGTAATTTATCAGATTACTTTAAGTAATTTGGTGTGTTACTTTTTTAATACATCATTTAGACCTGTTTTTTTAGCAGTAAAATATATTACCTGCACAATAATTAACTGAACCGTTTCAGTTTTATTAAAATGAACAAACCGGTCATATTTTTGTAGAAAATAAATCAGTAGATCACAGTTTGAGAAATAATATTTTGCTTTTGAGAAAAAAAAAAAAGTAAAGTTTGAGGTTCTTGTTACTCCAAAACTAAGATGAATGCAAACACCATGTTGATAAATGAGAATGTATGTTTTGTACCTAACATGCTTTTAATACGATGTTATTTAACTGTAAAGAATGTTTCTCTAACAGATGAAAACAAAACCTTACCAAGTAATTTTGGTCCAGTTTCTACTGCAAATATTTTAATACACTTGAAATAAGACAAAAAATAACTTACAAGTCACTTTTCAGCAAAGTATAGACGCGTGTTTGAAGACAATATTTCCTGAATTTTGATGAAAAATAACCAGATATTTGTCCCGTGTTGTAAATGAATAACTGAATTATAATTGCCATGAATAAAGCTCTTTATGCATTAAATATTCTCTTTACAGAGATTTCGAGAGAAAATGCATTTATCAGTTAGAAAAGGTTTTATAGTTGCATCACATTTTTTCATCCTGTTTCTAGTCTGTAAACTTTTTTTTTAAATGCATCACCATGGGATCACTGCATGTCCAGACTGTGGGATCAGTGATGCTGGCGTTCTGGACATCTGGATCATACAGACGGTAATTAATGTGAAATCAGGACGTCGTCTTCCCGAGCAGGAAAGCAGCTCGGTGTCCGCCGCTGCCTTGTCCCGTCACGTCCATAATCTGAGATCAGACTGTTTCTCAGCGCGGGTTTATCAGCTGGATTACCGCCGCGTTCCAATGGCGCAACGTGGTAGAACGGTCTCCATGGTTACCAGTTTGGCGTCCTACGGTAATCGCCCAGAAACACGTCTGACATTCATTCCTCCACAGCCCCATCCGTCAGGTGTTTCTGCAGCCTGATGCTGAGACAAACGGAGACGCTTCACTGGACGCTTGTCTCTGCTGACACCTACAGGCCAAACCTGGCAGTTCTCACTCCTCATTATATTGCACTAAATCACAGCTTAAGTTTTACTTCAAGTGAACTAAGACATTTCCACTGTAAACTAGACAAAAGACACTCTGTAGACTGTTGTGTTTTTGCAGTGCAGTGCCACCAGAGCAGAGCTTGCTCAAGATTGGCAGCAGGCGTAAAACACTGTGAGGAAAAGAGTTTTGGACAAAAGAAGAAAGTTAAGGACGCTGTGGGAGCTAAAGTTATTTCCTCCGATTGTTCTGGAAAATCACTTGTAAAAGTGAAGCACGGTGTGTTTACCCACAATTCCCCCTAATAACACTTTTATGAATACAGATATGTCTTTCAGGAGGAACCTCTCCCATCGGCCTGGTGAGGATCTGTGGATTGTCCATCAGGATGGACAATGGCGACACTAATAAAAGTGATAATGAAGAGCCGCAAAGATTGGAACGTTTGGTCAGGAAACTCCCCACATGACGACCGCCATCACAACCGGCTGGTCAAAAAATGTGATGTTTTTGTTGGTAAAAGAAATGGAGATGTGAAAAATAAAACCCAGCCCAGCAGTCCTTCAGACTGTGACATATCAGACATTTCTGCTGTGGAGATGATTCTGATTTTGTAAACTGCGCGGTCTACGTCTGGACTCACCTTCTCCCTCTGTGTGGCCTTCATCTTCTGCCACTCTTCCTCCTCCTCTTGTCTCTTCCTCTTGTCCATGTCCTCCTTTTTAAGCTGGGGGAAAAAAAAGGAACTCCAACATGAAAGGTCAGATAAGATAATCGTATTTAATCACGTTGCTTAAGCACGCTCAGACACAGCATTTCAAAACCTATTTAATCAGCTGCTCTGTCTCTGATTTGGGAATTATGAAACAGGACTCCACAGAGTTACCACAAATATTTGATAGGTGAAAAAAACAAAAAAAAAAAACAAAAAAAAAAACAAAACCCAGATTAGGATGTGTCCAAGTGCCGGAAAAAGTATTTACATCCCCGTTTGCAACATGACTAAATGTTGCAACCGCAAATTTTGAAGATCTTCCATTAGGGCTGGGTGTGACGCACCAAGGCGTTGGTTTTATTGCCGTTTTATCTGCCAATAAAACGAGTATTTTTTCATCGATATCAAGAAATTATTTACATAAAACGAGCTCCTATCCAGCTCTGGAACAGAACGCCGCACTGAACCCCACAGAAAACCTCCTGGTCATTCCACCAAATCTTCATTTCTGAACTCTTCCTGAGTTTAAAACATTATTGTTGTTTCTAAACGAATATGAACTTGATTTATTTGCATTATTTGAGGTCTGGAAGCACTGAATCTTCTTCATTATTTTGTCCATTTCTCATTTTCTGCAAATAATTACTGAGATCTTTGCTTGGAATTTCAGAGACATGTTGTCAGGAGTTCGTAGAATAAAAGAACAAAGTTCATTTTAATCAAACATAAACCTGTAAAGAGTAAAATTGGGGAAACCGATCATTTTAAGTGGTCTCTTAATTTTTTGCTGAAAAGTTACTTGTACGTTAATTTTGTCTTATTTCAAGTGAACTAAGATATTTGCACTGGAAAAATACTTGGTAGAACTGTGCGGTTTTGTAGTGTAGTTCCACTGACAGATTATTTCTCTGATAAGACATTTTTCCATGTCATAAGTGAAAAGATTTGCGAGTGAAACTGGTACTTTTCCATCATTGCCAAGGAATTATTGATTTAAAGCAAGAAATAGAAACTAGACCAAAAATACTTGCTAAGATTTTGCCTTTTTACAGTGTATAAGGGAAGATAATGTACCTTCTTCTGCAGACTGGAGCCTCTCTGGTTGGTAAACTGCCTCTGCCTGGCCTCGGCTATAGTTACATCCCCTCCACCTGGATGGATCAACAGACATCAGCGACTGCAAAGTGCCGATAATCCCAGTGATCCCCAGAATGTAATGAGGCTGATCACAGTGATTACCCAGCCTCTCTGGAGCGAGGTGCAGCGGACCAGGCCTGTGCGCCTCCTTGTATCTCTGTAGCTCCTCCGTTTCCCTCTGAGCCACTGCGGAGCAATTCCACATCAATCACCGGAAGCAAATTTGCCAAACGTTTACAAAGAATCAAACCAGCTTTAGGGTGGATCATTACTTTCTTTGTTCTTGCTCCGGCGGGTCTGGTTGGGCGGAATGACGGTGAACGCTCCTGAGCTGAGACACAAAGAGCTGGTTAGGGACGAGAGCGCTGACTCTAATCCGGCATTTAGGCAAAGTTTGAACAGGTGCTGCAGCGTCAAAACACGATTTTACATTTCAGACGTGTGACTCGTTCCCTCCTGAAGATATAATGAAAGCAACACATGTATGCTATTTGTCCTTTGTCTAAACTAACGTAATAATTCGCAGCCCATTCTGATAGTTTTCCATCTGCAACACTTAAGAAGTTCTGTTGTTAAGGACAGCAAGTGATCTTGGGCTTCAGTGGGTTTAGTCTCATTCCTAATGATGATGATGATGATGATGATGATGATGGGGCTAAGTAAATAAAAAAAATGGATATGTTTGATTTTGATGGAATTCTTACAACTATGTATCAGGGTCCTTGTAGACAGAAAAAGAGGGGGAAAGAAAAAAAACATACACATTTCTAAGTTTCAAAATAATTTTTCTTTTTACTTTTTGAAACTCATAATTTACCATGTTTTTTTTTTGTTTTTGTTTTTTTTTTTCAGAGAATAGTCTCAAAATTTCTGAATTTTTCTTTTTTTTCTTTTGTTTGACTATTTAAGCTCAGACATTTCTTTGATGTTTTTCTAGAAAGTTTCAGAGATTAATTTCAAAATTTCTGAGCTGTTTGGTGGAAATTCACTCCTTTTGTTCCTTGTTTTTTCTCCGTCTCCACGATACGCTGTCGTAAATTCAAATGCCTGAGTGCTAAACTGAACATCCATCCGTTCATCCAAACCTGCTCGTACCCTCGGAGCGTCGAAACTTCAAAGTTCTTGGACGAGACAGATGAAAACTCAGATTCCAAAGGAAAATGACATCAAAAAGTGAAAGAAGTCAAAATATGGTGTGAGATTTTAAAGTGCAGCACTGCTGGTTTTAAAATGTAAATACAAACGTTGGACATGTTTTAGTTTAACTTTAACTTCACTGCAAAAACACAAAAATCCTACCAAGTATTTGGTCTAGTTTCTAGTACAAATATCTTATTATACTTGAAATAAGACAAAACTAACTGATAAGTAACTTTTCAGCAATTTATGGTGTTATATGGTTAATTATCCCTTAATTATTGATATAATATTGATTGTACTAGTTCCACTGGCAGTTTTTTTTCTTTTTTTTTTCACTTGTAACATTGAAGAAATGAAATAATCTGTCGGTGGAACAAGTACTTATATCAATATAAAAAAAATTAAGCTCCTATATCTTCTTGAAAAGTTACTTGTAAGTTAGTTCTGTCTTATTTCAACTGTACTAAGGCTACTGTGAAAGAATATTTTACTCTATAGAATATTTTTACGATTATCTGAGGAATTGGATCTTTCTCTCTCTCTCTCTCTGCCATTCGCTCCAAAACCGTGACGACACGATTCCGACGCCAGAAAAGCTGTCGTAGTCCAACCATCGCACCACAAAGTTCACAAACCCTGACAAAACACAGCACAATTCAACGCCACGCTGCTTAGCACTTCAAAACAACTCATAGGCAGAAATAACAGCGCTGCCCTCCACAAATAACGACCCGGCAGGAACACGGTGCGCCACATAATAAAACATAATTTAACGAATCTTCGAGGCAGATAAATTTTCCTCGAGGAATTTTAATAATCGAGGCACTCGAATCATTCGAGGAATCGTTTCAGCCCTAAAATGTACAAAGATCAATAAATTTGACCAAATCACTTGGTAGGATGTTGTGTTTTTGCAGTGTTGTTCTCTCAAGTGAAGCTCCAGAGAAAGATGATTTTTGTTTTTTTTCTTCCTGACTCTCAGAACATCCTGCTCCTCTGGCCTGGAACAGAAACGCTCAGTGAACTCATCCGAGATCACTTTAACAGAAACCATCCGACTTTACACCAAAGTGTGATTTCTGTTTCCTCTGACCGTCTGTCCGCGTTCCAGGGAATCTGCTGGAGAAGGGTTTGGGGGCGATTTTGTTGATAATTTAACAGAAAGGGAAATGCCAACAATCAGAAACCTCCGCCCAGGAAGAAAAGCGAGCTGATGATTGTGGTCAGGGTGTTTAAAATCGAGTCGATTTCTCTGTGGAACGGAGCCATTAGTGGCTTGTTGTCAGCTTCCTGCCAGCGTCCGGAGAGTTTTCACATGGAAAAGCTTTAAACCTCTGTCATGTTTGTGTTAGGTGAGTATTTATAGGCCGCAGAAGTCCAGCGTGGGTCACAATCTGAGGCCAGCCTCTTTTGAAAAACACAAACGTAAAAATCTGAAAAAGGAAAAAAACCAACAAATCAATCTGAATATATAAATAAAAGCTCCTCATGTGTTTGCCTTGTTGAAAGGCAGATTTCTTTGGGCGATCAGCTGCTTTTCATTTTGGACAAGAACTTTTTTTTTTTTGGTCTATGCTAAGCGAAACAAAAAACGAGACACTGATGGCTCTTTTTTTTTTAAAGTGTTTTCTGTATTTTGCCAAGTTTAAAGAACGAGTCTGCAAATAAAACTATTGAATGTCTGTGGTTCTGTTCATGATTTACTTTTAATACAAACCAAAAACAGAGTTTATAAAGGAGGAATTCCATGAAAAAAGCACAATTTGTCTCCCTCTAGTTGTATTTCATAAAACAGATCATTAAAAATATCTATTTTGTCTAAACAGCCTTATATGTACGTTAAAATGTATGTAATTTTATGTAGCTTAAAAAACTTGAGAGCAATTTTATTCTATTATGAGAAATAACACAGTTTTCAGTTCATAGGGCCTATTTAGAAATGTCTCCTTGATGCATTTTTTTTTAATGTTTAGAAAAATAGTGTTAGTTGAGTTTTGTCTATCAGACCACTGAATTAGATCACAACTCCTCCATTAAACATAATGTCTGTTTAATGGCTTTGAAATTGTAAAAATGTGAGATTTATTTTTGCCATTTTCACTTTTAAAATAATAGGATAAGTGTGGGGAACATTTGATTAACATATAAGTATTACTTTCTTTAGAAATACACTCTATAATCATAGTTAAGGAGTCTCAATAGAGTAAGTGACCGCATCTGGAAATAATAACACGTAATAATGGAAACATAATCCCTAAGATGGAAAAAATAAGTTTTTGAGGGGTTTTTTTTCTCTGATGGTTAACTTTGTCCTGCAATTTGGTAAATAAATAAATAAAAAGGTTTTGGAAATAGCAAAGCTCAATTTGGAATGACCTGTTTTGTACCCAAGCTTTTGTTTAAGTATATTTTTATTTGTCGGTGAAAGTATTATAGCTTTGTAGTGCAATTGATGGGAGTCACGCCAAATAATTCAGAGGATTACAAATGGACATTACACACCTTTTAACCCCCGTGGGCTAAGGCTTAACGTAGCACAATACAAAAAAACCCTCTGAAATCAAAGTTATCTTTCGAAAACTTTCCGTCTTCTTCTGTTAAAAGCATCCAGTTAAAGCTTCAGAGTCTAATTAAGACTTAGTTAGCTAAAGATGCTATTTTTTTTGTCCTTGCTATACTCAGTCATCCAGCGTTTGGGAGGACACTAGGATTTACCACACACCCTGAAGGCAACGTTTCTAATTGCATGAAACGAAACTGAAAGTAAGTTGAGGAAAACGTAACTTTCAGTAGGATCAATTTTCATTTAGCACAAAATTAAAAACAACACCCCTATACGTAAACAGACATAGAAACGATATTCTTTGTATTTCTTTCTTTGGTTTTTGAATATCAATCACCATCTGGGAGTCACTTGTTCATATTAGTTGAAGGTGTTTTTACTCACTACTGTGGCTGTCGGTCTGCCGCTGGCTGCCTTCCCACCGCGGGGGTTTGTCCGTCCATATGCCGGGCCTGCGGCTCCTCTCCGGACGCTCCCGCTGCGCTCTGGCTCGGGTAGTTTCTCCCTCTGGAGTTCACTTGGTTGGGTTGAGGGTCCATGATGCGGCGGGCACCGGCAGGTTCAGAGACGGTGAGTGAGAATGAGGCGGATGCTGCTCTATGCTTAGAGTAGCTATTCTGTTTTCAGAAAGATCCTGCGCTGTTGTCACCAGTCATCTGTTGTCAGCTGTTTACTGTCAAAAACACGAGGGGAGGCTTTTCCTGCCACAGCGCCCTCTGCTGGACAAACACAGGCCCTTCGGTTCATGTTTTTTTGTTTCTGCTTCAGGTTTTCTATAGTTGCAATTTTAGAGCATGTTAAGATTATTGTAGTACAAAAAATATGTCTTTTGCATTCCTTGTTCATGTGTGTGATTTTGTATTTCTATCATGTTCGGAATAAAAATATTTTTAAAAATTGTATTTATTATTTATTAAAGGCAAACGGAATGTGATTCAGTAAAACTTATTAAACTAATATAATCACATCAACTTTCACATTATTACGCTGTAATAAAACTGAACATAGAATACTTAATATGTCAATCAGCGGTGTCCAAAGGATGGCTCTGGGGTCACTTGCAGGCCTCTGAATGATTTTTGTTCGGTCTTTGACGACAATTCAAGAACAACAATTAGGTTTGCCAATTTATTTAAAAAAAAAGGCAATAAAAGAAATACTTAGGTGTAACATAATGTATTCTTCTTTTATCATCTGTTTTTTTTTTCATGTAGTTTATTTTGATTCTAAATTGAGCCATAAACGTTCAATATCTTTTCCTGAAAAGTATTTCGCGATGGATGGATCATCAATTTACTAAACTTATTGTCTAAGTAAAGCAAGAGCGAGCCACTTCCTGTTGTTGTTGCTGAATAAGCAGAAACAATTCATACATGGAGTAATTAATAATTAAAAAAAACATAGAACATTGTAATCTTAATTGTGTCCATGTTATTTCTATTTCTCTGTGATCTGACAGATGGCTTTTCAACATAGATCAGACTTCGTCGCTGCTAAATCCTCCCAGTTCATTTCCAGATTTAGTCAAACGTTTCCCACTCTTTGCTTATACAGCTATGTGAAAAACTATTTCTACCCTTACGGGTTTCTTGCAGATTTGCGCTCAAATTTTTCAAATGATCTCATTTTGATATCAAAAGATAACTTTATTACATACAAAAAAAGTTTTCATACAATGACTTAAGGGTCACAACCATCCTAGAAAAATCTCCCCAAAATGTAATAATAGTTTGTGCCACCCAACATGGTAACAACCAGTCAGTAGTTGACAGATGTTAGGACTTTGACCATGTGGCTAAATCAAATTTAGCTTTAAGAAGTTAATTTTATGGATGTGGGGGTTAAAATAAACCGGCAGTAAGAGCTGGGTTATGTTTCATAGCTTTCTTCCATCGAAAATGCAATTATTTAAAACCATTTCAATTAATTAGGTTATTCGTGTCTGATATTAAAATCGGTTTGATGACCTGAAACAGATAAATGTGACAAAAAGCAAAAAGAAATCTCCGAGAGGCAATATAATGTTCTTACTGCTCTGTAGTAATAAGTTATTTTATTTTTTATCCAATAAATGATAAACTGCTGCTGTTTTCAGTATATTCCAACATAATCAGGGACACTTATGTTAGTTCTGTGTAAACTCTGCCCACTGTACTGTAATGTGTGTGTATTGTTATAAAATGAACAGTTTTCAACTTTGTTTTTGGCAGACACATTTATTACATGAATGTTATTGCTGATGCACACACACACACACAACATCAAGGAAACGGCAAATAAATACATCTCTTTGTTAAGTCAAGGATAAAATCTAAAAGTAAATATGCTGGACATTTAAGAGTTTTTATTGGTTATGAGTAGTGTGCTTGCAAACCGTATTAAAAAGTCAGATTTCATGAAATCTTTACAGTTTGTTACGTTTTCTGAGTTACGAGATGAATAATGTCATGGAATGTTTAGTCGCTCGGCTGAAAGCTGACAAGTCTCATTACTGACAACACCGGTGACTGCGCTCTGCTTCTCTGGCTCTCCAGCTTCACAACGGCGCCTGAGGTTTTCGTAAAACACGAAGAGGCAACGGAGATGAACAGTATCCACACATGATTTCGATAAAAAATAGCAAATAAGGCAATGATGGTCCAGAGGTTCTCTAGCAACTAGCGTCCCCGAGCGGACATCAGCGGGGAGCTAGTGCAACCACAGTGAAAAAAACAACGACACTACGCCTTAGGGTCAGAGGTCATATTAGTTCCTGGAGGCTGTTAATGTCTGGGTAATGCAGTTCTGATAAATGACGGCGCACCCTCCTTGATCAACCCTTTGCTACGGCTAAGACCTTGTGGAGTTCCTGCATGTTTGGCCAACACTCCGCTTTCCGGAAGGTCATCCCTCGTGTGCGTGGGCCAGCGGTGTGTGTCTGTGTGTAAGTGCTGCAGCTGGGGAAGTGGGATCACAGTTTGGGTTGTGTGGCCAGCTTTATCTTCAGGTTCTCTGCCAGCTTGTCCAGGAACTCAAAGGTGTTCAGGTAGTCGCTGCGTGTCACACTGCAAAATAACAAACAAAAACAGGAGAGAAGATCAGGGAACTGAATGACTTTTAGTCTTTACCAACCCTGACTGGTGGATTAGCTGGTTGGAATTGAAAAATCCTACCTTTTACAGTTCAGTGAACGCAACACACCTAAATACTACAACAGCTCTTTTCTGGGTTGTCTAGCTGACCCGAGCCATTTTCAGTATCCGTGACTGTGTTTCCTTTGACCATAAAATTGTGCAAGCTGACATTACAAAAATAAATTTGCTTAAGGGAAACATGCCTTCAAAAAAACCTTCATTCTGGTGGTTTGGTCTCAACTGTTTGAAGGACAACTTTGTTTACAGGAATTTCAGTGTTCATTTTCTTTTTTGTCTCAGTTGTTTTGTTTCTATATTTGGGATATTTAAATGGTCTTCATGTTCCAATGTTAAATTTGTTAGAAATTAAAGTTTATTGATTTTTATGCATTATTAAACCATTATATTGGCAATCGTCTCAAAACAACATTATCGTTTATTGCAATAAGTTCTGGGATAGTTTGTCACCCAGCAACATTTGTTATTACTACCTGCACCATAGTACCAGGAAGAGATTTACCCATAGAGCTATGAGTTTGTGTCTCTAATAACGTGTGATGGACGTGACTCACTTTGGCATTCCTTTGATGCAGATGGCCAAGTCCTTGGTCATGAATCCAGCCTCAATGGTTTCGATGCAGACGGCCTCCAGAGCCTCAGCAAACACCCGGAGCTCTGCGTTGTTGTCCAGCTTCGCCCGATGGAGTAGACCTCGCGTCCAGGCGAAGATGGAGGCTGAAACAAACACATCCACAGCGTGAGGACAGACTTCGGTCAAAAACACCAGGGCGCATATTTGTGTAGTAAGAATATTCCTCCGACCTATGGGGTTGGTGGAGGTTTCTTTGCCCTGCTGATGCTGCCTGTAGTGGCGCGTCACCGTGCCGTGCGCGGCCTCAGCCTCCACAGTGCGTCCGTCAGGACAGATCAGAACACTGGTCATCATGCCCAGAGAGCCGTACCCTGAAAACAACCATCAGTCACGACCTTCGGCTGGCGTAATCGGGAGCAGAGGTTCCTTCACTGTTCACCAAATGGATCGTTTCACCAACCTTGTGCTACAGAATCCGACTGCACGTCGCCGTCGTAGTTCTTGCAGGCCCAAATGAAACCTCCCTCTGATTTTAAGGCCTGGGCCACCATGTCGTCGATGAGACGGTGCTCGTACCAGATTCCTTTGGCCTCAAACTGAGCTCTATATTCTCTGAAAGACACAAGCAATCCCCTTTCAGTTCTGCGTCGGTTTGCTTGTTATTCTCGGAGTTTAGTCAAGGTCTCACTTCTCATAGATCTCCTGGAAGATATCCTTGAAGCGACCGTCGTACTTCTTCAGAATGGTGTTCTTGGTGCTGAGGTACAGCGGCCAGGCCTTGGACAGAGCCATCTGGAAGGAGCTGTGAGCGAAGTCTCGGATGGACGAATCGGTGTTGTACATCCCCAAAGCCACACCACCAGTACCTGGACAGACACAACATGAACTGCTCACCCTGGATGTCCTCATGAAGAATACATACACATTTGAACTGATCAAAATGTTGAAAAAAATACTATAAGATATCTTGTTAAAATATTGTCATTAACACCATCAGGTAGAAATGGATTCAGTTTTAAAATGATCTTTCCTCGGATCATCGGAAGTTGATCTGAAAGCTGCAGTATCGATCACATTTTTGATTTTTCTCAGTTTTCTAAAAATTATTTGCTCTCATTTATTAAAAAGAAGAGAGTTTGAAAGCAGTTCGTTGAAAAAAAAGCAGGTCAACTTATGTGAGACGAATCAGTAACACTTTATTTGAAGGGGTGTGCGTAAGACTGACAGGGTAGTCATAAACATTTCATAACAACGGTCATGAACATGAAGGAGTCCTCATGAATGTTTACGACCATTGTCACAGTGTCATTCTGTAAATAATGACACTTTTAATGCAAAGTTGCACTAAAAGTTGCATTGAAAGTCAATTAAAAGTGTAAACTTTGCATTATTCAGACAACAATTACCCTTTCAATGCAAAATGCTATTAAAATTTGCATTAAAAGTCCTTGAAAAGTGTCATTGTTTACTGAATGACACTTATGACAACAATCAAAAGCATTCATGAGGAGTCTTTCTTGTTCATGACAGATCTTATGTCATGTTTATGACAGTGTCACATCAGTCTTGTGCACACCCCTTCAAATAAAGTGTTACCGACTAATCTGGATCCTGTTTGTAGAACCTGGAGAAAGGACAATGGCTAAATGAAAAGCAGGGAACTCGTGCAAAGTTTCAGGGATGTTGAACCACATTTGATTTGAGTGAAGAACCTCTACTCAGCAAGAGCAACTCGATGGTGAAAGGTAACGGTGCCAAATCTGAGATGTTTCTGTGAAATGATCAGCTCTTTCGTATGTCGTGTTGTGAGTTTGACTGCACTGCGACATGACTTCCTCTTTACCTTCAAACTGATGGACGACATATTTGACCGGCTCTCCGTCTGTGGGTGTGTAGATCATCTCTACTTTCCCAGGCCCTGGCACTACAAAGTCAGTGGCTTTGTACTGTGGAGAGCACAGTGAGGAGGAGAGAGTTAGCAGTGTACTAGAACCCAGC